AGACAAAATCAAGTCATAGTTAAATTGTATTAGGAGTTTATCGAGTTGTGATCAAAGTTAAAATAGGAATTATTGTGTCTTAATTAAAGTCAAAAGAGTTGGGATTGGTAGTATAGTCTTTGATGGAGTCCACAGAGATTACATGTGATCAAGGGAATACAATTAGAAGTCTAAAGAGTGTCAAAAAGCGGTACAAGTTATATTCCAAATTCTCAAGTATAACTTGCAATGCATTTTTGACATAGAAAACATTGAAATTTGGACAAAGTTATTCCCAATAAGAATTATAATCCTTTGAGTTAACTTTTCAATGCATTTTGGATCACCTCAATCGAACATCGGTAGAAAACGTTATGATGAAAATATTGATGATTGCTCGACTGCGCTCACCTGTCGCTAGCCTAGCGCTCTAGCAACGATGTTACATATAAAATCATTGTACGCATTTTTCAAAAGTTTTATTCGATCTATGCTACCTAATTGTCTTCTACTATATATACCCAAACCCTAACATGTTTTGTGTGTGGTTGTTAATTATATTACTTCTTTATAACATCATTCCAAGATCCAAACTTAGGATAATCTGACGTGATTGATGAACCATAATATGTTGTTCGTTGCTTTCATGTTATTGATTGTGGCATTCAAAATATAGGATAACCTGACGTGATTGATTAACCATCTAGAAACAATTAAAAGTGACTTATTGCTTTTAATTGTATAATCCTACATGTTAGGTCAAAATAAATTGGCTAAATCTAAACTTTCATCGTTAACTTGGTATAACACTTGGGAAGAAGAAGACCTACAAAAAAGGAGGTAACGGATACCTTATATTTCGCAAAGCTAAAATCTTGTTCTTATCAGTAACACGACTTCTTACTCTGTCTAAATATAACATTTCTCAAAGTAGTAAAATTATCCATAAGAAAGAAATTTAACTCTACAACAACATAAATATTGAAAACTTAAGCCTTTGTTTGACAAGCATTAAAACAAAGAGTCGTGCTAGGCTTACAAAATCAGGGTGCTGTCAGGCCACACACATATGTGGGGCCTACATATATATATATATATATATATATATATATAGTTTTAATATATGTAGGGTCCCTGCACAGTGAAGGGCCCTATAAATGTCCTATGAGAAATGCCTTGTATACTGAGCATTTCTCTAAAACAAAACATTTTTCTCTCAAACTCATTTTTAATCACACATTTTCAAAATAAAATATCTTGTATGGAAATTCAAAATTTTTTCTTACATTTTAATTAAACATTGTTCAAAAAATCACTATTCCAAAACACATTTAATCATTTTAATGATTATCGAATAGTGGTTAAATTTAAAGTAAAATACAACATAAACTAAGACAATAGTATTATGGTTGATCATTTGTGGACGCATCAAGTGTTGGAAATTTACTTATACATGCACAGCGGAAAATTAAATTATTTCGATTCCCACCGAGGATCCCTTTGTATTTAGATAGAAATCGTGATAAAGATTGTACCTTTGACGAATTTTGCAAACCTTTTGCTGTTCTTTTCGTTCCAACAATCTTGATTCGCCACCCACAGCTGTCCAATTGTCCAGCCTCCAACGGTGATCCACACAGAGAATAAGATTGTAACTACCAGGATTTTTCCTCTTGTGCTAGCAAGAATAATGAAAAACATATGAATCTCAAACCCTAGCCATGTATTTATATAAACCCAAACGGGCTCGGCTCGATCCGATCCAATATTTAATTAATCCATTTAATTAAATTCGGTCCGTGAATTAATTAATCCAATTAATTAATTCGTGAATATAAATAACAAATCCAATTAATTAATTTATCCAACGATTGTTAAATTAATTAATTGACAAATTGCAATCTTTCAATTCTATTTTGTGTGTGACCCATCAGGTTTCCGATCACGATGCCTAACGACGTAAAATATTATTTTAATCTAATCAAAATTGATAAATTAAAACATCATATTAATTTATCATCAATTCACACTCGTCGTCCCAGATTAACATCTAACAATGTGTCAGGACAATACATGTGACGGGAAATGTCACGTGGTATGACAAAACCAAACTCGTTCATTTACCGTGAAACTATAATCCCTTCGTCTATATGATCCGATCAATTACGAGATATGAAAGTGTGTCAATCTCGATTATCAATCATATCTTTCACTCCACTATTAAGTCAATATAAGTGGAAAACTCCTTTCGACTTATGAGAACACCTTGTCCAAGGATTTCATCATCGACTTAATTGAATGAAACGCAGATCATAATCTCCTACTATTTAAGAGTAACGAATCCTTTATTGATCAATTACAACCTTCATACGATTCTTGACTTACCTGAACGATGTCGTATTAGCGGCCCTTTGCAGAGCAACATCCAACACCGTCAAAGTATGACTGTCCTTATATAAGGTACCATGACGACCTCAAGTCAAAGGATCAATTCCACTGCCGAACGTTAGAGATTAACCACTGACACTCAGATAGTTATCCATGTGGAATCTCTCGAAGGGTCTCCAATATTTTGTTCTATAACAAAACATCCACGTGTTCATTTAAGTGTCACCACACTTTAACTTGTGAGATCGGCTAATTACTTCACAAGTAAGAAATGTCACACGTGATGGTCTATCCGTAATAACGATATTCGTATCTCGTTATTACTTACGACCACAGACTATTTAAGATTTAATCAGATGTAATTTGTATCTCACAATCACAACTCTTGTGATTAACAAATTACGAAAATTTGAATCTACGGACTCTATTATTTATTTAATTGTCTATTAATTAAATAATAGATCTGCCATTAAATTGCATTAAGTATATATCAAAAGTATTTATGTCCAAAATTGATTGGACCTAGGGCATAATACTTACATCAAGACCACCTAAATATGACCCAATAAGACCTGTAGATACTTCGAAATCCTTAGCATTGTTGTTGAGCTCCCTGTTTTTTCATTTATTTTTTCTTTTTGCAAAATTCTTGTTCATTTCTAAAAAAATTCACGTAGATTTGGATCCATTATGGAATCAAATATTTTAGTAAAATTTTATTCTCTCATCGATATTATGTAATGGCTAATTTTTTTTTTTTTTTTTTTTTTTTTTTTTTTTTTTTTTTGTTTTTTTTTTTTGAATTTTTATTTGGCATGCACTTGTGAAAGCATACAATTCAATAACAATTCTTGCAGTTGATGGAGACCTCGTTGTCGCGTTTGGTATACACATAATAAATGAATTTTATTAAATACGGATAGGAGTAAAACGTTCCCACAATGAAAATTATGTGATAAGGATTGAATTAGTATTTTAAAACTCGGACTGAGCCGCGAGGATGAACCAGAAACCTAGTTTGCATGAACCAGTCAAGTTATCGGAATTTTGTCCATGATGTCTTTAAGTTGGGGCTTGAATGTTGAACCTTATGGCTAGCTAAGGCAGCATAATCACTCTTTTACCTCCACAAACATAATATACATTAGCCTTACGCCCTTTGTACAGAAATGATTGTACAGAAGTCCATTAGATTACTCGCATGGTGGGTTCCATTGGGTGATAAAACAATGTCAAAAAATTATCCACCCACCCCATATTGTGTGTTGTTTGGCCAAATGGGTCGGGTCTCAAAACTTTGATTTCGACTACTCATTTAGCCTACTCTTCTCAAAAATCGTATATTAGCATTTTCAAGAGATTTTAATTCATAAATTAAAGAATCTATAAATTTAGATAGTAAATTTTGATTTTGAAAATGCACTTTTTAACCAAAAAAAAAAAAAAAAAGGGGAAACCAAAAAAAAGGTTTTTTTTCCCTTTTTTTTTTTTATTTTTTTCCTTTTTTTTTTTTTTTTTTAATGTTTGTCACTTTTTTTTTTTTATATATATGTCAATCACCAATCAATTCAAATACAATTTAAAAAATTTAGAAAGTACTGGAACATAATATTGAAATCTGTAATTTATTAAATACACTCACTATAATGTAAGAATTTAGATGCCTTGAAGTCTATTTTTAACCATTGACTCTTTAAAATATAAAGCATCTTGTATTAAGAGATTCTTGAAGATTCTAACATTAATTATAAGATTACCTCGAAACTCAATTATTTAACATATTTGCCACATAAAACTAATTGACTAGACATGATAATTCATTACTTCCTCCGTCTCATTTATATAGGCTTAATTTCCTTTTTTTCTTATTTCAAATATATGGTCTTGTTTCTTAATTTGGAAAATTTTGTTTTGTTCCTTAACTAATATACTCTTTTTAATTTGCCTAGTTACAATCAATTTTTTCCACTTAATTTGCCTACTTCTTAAAAGATCCAAATACATGCACATTTCCCAATAATTTGCTAACTTCTTGAAATTAATTTTCAAATTTTTTACTAATTCCAACAATAATTTATTACTAGTTGTTCAAAATTAAATAAGGGCAAACTAGAAAATTTCTTGGCAAAATTACTTTTTCAATGACATTTAATAATTATTTTTAAATCCGTGTGAAAAATGAAATAAGTCTATATAAATAGGACGGAGGGAGTATTTTTTTCGCACCGGTCTATTCCTTAATCATCTTGTCTTTTCTAATCTAGCATTCCCGAACCACGAGTTTTTCACAAGTCGTTCACCTGTTTCATGATCCTGACTCACTACTCTCTTAAATTCTGAAATCTGCTTACAGCTTGGCTGTGACCTGTGAGAGACTGATAATTAGTAAATGCTAAAACATTTACTCCCAAGCAAGAATCTGCACTTTCTACTGGTTTTTACTATGTTGAAAACTAAAATTACAGCTGCTGTTTTCAAAGACCATGAATGTCTTTATCTTCATTCATTTATTGGCATCATCAAATGATACATAATAACTGATGGTATCACATCAAATTTTGAGAAATTCAAATAATTATACATCTTTATATTGTAGCAGTAAATTTTATGAGTAAATGCATGTAGAATTTTTATTTTTTTTTCAGAAATCTATGGCTAAAATTTGTAGAAGAAGACAAATAAATTCCCCTAGAGCTTCACAATTTCTGGGATGTGCACTGGATACTTATCAATGCAGTCTTGCCAAGGTCCATCAGTTGTTGTTTTAATTGTCCTGTTACATTTCCATACGGCACTGTTACATTTGAATCCACTTCCAAAAGCTATTTGCCAAACTCTATCCCCTTTCTTCATCCTGCCTTTGGCCTCAATGTAACTTAATTCGTACCATAATGAAGACGAAGACGTGTTCCCAAATCTATGCAGTGTCATTCTAGAGGCCTCAACGTGTTCAGAAGACAGTTGGAGGTTCTTCTGAAGTTCATCGATCACCGCTCGGCCTCCGGCATGGATGCAGAAGTGCTCAAAGGCTTGTTTGAAGTCAGGAATGTAGGGTCTCCATTTAGGGTTAAAGATTTTTCGACCAATTAAAGTGAAGAGAAAAAGGATTTGTTCTGATGCAGGAAGGACTAAAGGGCCTATTGTGGTTATATTGGATTTCAAAGCTTCACCAGCTATAACCATAAGGTCTTTTGACAAATTAATCCCAACTTTTCCCTCTGAATCTTCTTGTTCATAAACACATTTATAGGCCTTATCATCAGAACCCTTGTGGGTTCTAACCACATGAACTAATCGATACTTAGCACGGCGTTTATCGCGACTCTTGTTCGATAAAAGAATCGCAGCACCCCCCATTCGAAACAAGCAATTTGGAAGAAGCATTGCCCTTTCTGAACCTTGGGCGTTGATCAAATGACATTTCCTTTCAATGCTTTAGATTTAGCGATGCGATCAATGGCCAAAATCAATAGCATTTGAATTGGGCGGTTGAGATCATGTGTGGCTCTTTATAAAAGGCCTTGGCATTGCCATTCGAAAGCTTTTAGTCTTGCAAACATAAAAGTTCATTGCTCTCAAAATTTCGTGCGATTTCTGGCGAGTATTCCGTAATCTTCAATCTTTTTCGATAGCATTGTAACATTTTTCCAAATTTTCAACGATTTCCCAAGATCCAATTTCCACATTTCTCGACGAAAAAACAAATTTCAATTGTTCTCCGTAAATACTCTTAAGTTTTATTTACCTTTATAGAAAATGGTGTTTGAGGAGAGTGGGTGCTCTGGGGGTGACTTGGAGGTTGTAAGGATGGTTGAGCCAGTTCTGTCGAGATATCCGAGGCAATAATAGGGGGAGAATATCTGGTGACGACTAAATAGCCCTGTAGATATGTCTCAGCATTAGGGAGTATCTGACTATCCGTCGAAGTTGAAAACAGCCGACTTGGCTAGACTTCAGACTGAATATAGGATTCCAGAAAGTGTGGGTTTAATACTACCGGGGTCGAATGAGCGAGCCTACAACCTAAGGCTAGGGTTCGTGGATGCTGTGGAAGGAGGCATTCTATGGGATGGAGATGGCTTTCTCCATTTTCCAAACCATGCATATACCCAAGGTTGCGGCAAGGGATGATAAGATGAAGGGATGGCATTACCTGACCTCCTAGGGTCTCATACTCTATTCGTGCTCGATCTACCATGCTCCATCAAGGAATCGAAGAGTTTGTGGTACTGGGCTTCCAGGAGATGGTACACGATGGAGGGTGACCCTCTGACACCTCTTATTGTTCCCACCAAATACTCTACATTTAGTGAGTACTAGCACTTCGCCTCTGAATGTATATTCACTTGTATTCGAAATATAACTCATTTTTTCTTGGAAGTCCTCTTTCTCGATGTGAGTTTTCCATCGAGGATTTTGACATGATCTATTTCGTATATCAGCTCTCTCCAAAGAGGAGATCTTATAACGAGCTGATAAGGAAGAATACTTACTTCGTCACACACGAATTGATAGCTTCTCAAGGTAAGTGTTCTGAAGTTTGTTTATCACCGTGGTGGTCGCAGTGTAAATAGACTAATCTGTTGTGTTTTATTGCAGATGACTTCAACAAGATGAGGCCCCATGAAGCCAGACTTTAAAACCATCCAAAGGATGATGGCTAAGGTGAGGGCCTTGAAAACTTCCTCATCGGCCTACAAGAAATAGATGGAGGACTTGGTAGCTGCCAGCAAGATGCTGCCTTAGGTTGAGAAGGAGGAGCCTTTACTGAAGAAGGGAAAGAGGGCGGTTGGGCCTTCAAGGGCCCCAACAATGGCGAAGACGGCCACTAGGTAGATGACGATCCCCACTGGGGTCGTGATAAGAGAGAGGTCTACCCCTTTGCTAGAAGCTACTACCATACTGGCCTCTGCTCCTACTACCGCGATGGCTCCTGCTTCAACTACTGTCACTACCAATCACCCTGTCAAATAGGAAAGAAGAAAGAGGGCCCACCCTCTGAAGGAGTAGGACTTTTTGGGCTGCACCTCGGAAGAGCCCATAAAGGATGTCTTGGAGGTTCTTTCTACAGAGACAGCCGCTGTGGCCCAGGACCACTACAAGTATTGGACCGAGGCCTGGAGGGATTACACTTCCTCTTACATCACCGAAGACCTAGTGGCTACGAACAGTGCCTGTACCGCCTGAGTCTTGAGCACCAGCGTCCAACTGGAAGGCCTAGTGAAGGATCTTAGGGCAACGAACACTGACCTAGCCTAAAGGTTGGGAAAGGCCTCGCTTTGTGGAGACGAGGTGAGGGCGACCTGGGCCAAAGCAAAGGAGGCTCAGAAGGTAAAGAAAGAAATAGAGGCGAGGCTGGTGAAAGCTGAGGCCTCGTCGGAACAGCTGAAGAAAGAACTGTATGAGACTAAATGCCAAGTAGCTGCTCTGACGAGGCAGATTGACCACGCTAATGAGCATCACTGCCTCACAGTGGAGGCCCTCAACGCCCCAAATAAGGAGAAGACTGAGCTGAGACAGCGAGTGGAGGCCCAAGTTGAAGAGATTGACTCTTTGAAGATAGAGGAAAAAACTGTTGGGGAGTCAATCGTTCAGTACTTCATCGACCATTTTGAAGAGCACGAGCTGTATGATACCTTCACTAACTATTGGGCCTCGTGGAATGCCCAAGCTATGTTGTAGCACCTTAGGGAGGTCCATCCGAACTTGAATATCTTAGCTTTGGAAGAAGAGTTTGGTAGGCCCACGGGGGTTGTCCCGACATAGGAGGCTACGAATGCTCTGGAAGAGGCTGAGATAGGGACAAGGGCCATAATGGTAGTAGAGTAGGATTTTTGTAATGGCTTTGACCCACCTCTTGTAATTAGTTGATATTAATGAAATGAAATTATTTACTTTTTAAGTATTGAGACTATTTCCATTTGCATTGAACTATTTGTACTATTGTAATTTGATGAACGCTTCGAAATCAAACATTACTAACCAACATTAACCGGTTGAAGCACAAAATGTACCCATAGAGCATAACGATGAACTCAAGTTTCATAAATAACTTGAACCCAACATTATCATACACTATGGCAATTTGAGCACTTAGTCAGATAAGAATAAGTCACAATGGTTTGTAGAGCATGTGCAGTTTAGAGTGTAACATGCAGTCATTGGTAGTACCTCCTCAAGTGTTCGATGTTCCATTGATGAGGCAATACTTTCCCTATATATCTTCAATTTCATAAGTTTTGGGTCGGGACTTTTTGACGATGCGATATGGGCCTTCCCAGTTCGATCCAAGCACTCTGGAGCTTGTTTGCTTCGATGATGGGAACACCCTTCGGAGTGCTAGGTCGCCCAAACGTAGAGTTCGGTTCTTGACCTTTGAGTTATAATAGGGGGTAATTTTCCTTTGATATATAGCAAGTTTGACTTGAGATATATCCCTTTTCTCTTCTAGGAGGTGGAGTTCACACACTCGAGCCTCGTCATTGCTGACCTTATTAAAGTGTATGCGACGATACGATGGGACTCCAACCTCGACCAGACTCATGGCTTTGGATCTGTAGGTCATGGAGAAAGGAGTTTTTTCTGTTGCGGTTTGGCTAGTTCTGCATATAGCCCAGAGGACATAGGGAAGCTCATCGACCCATGCTCTTTTCGAGGCATCAAGTTTCCTTTTCAGGGTGTACTTGATCATCTTGTTTACTGCCTTAACTCGCCCATTCGCTTGGGGGTGATGAGGTGTTGAAAAGTCCTTCCTTATGCCTAGTTCATCGTACAAATCTTGCATCTTCCTATTATTGAACTGTCTTCTGTTGTCGGACACCAGGGAGTAGGGAATGTCGACCTTGCAAATGATGTGCTTCCAGACGAATTTAGTAGTATTCACCTCGGTGAATTTGGCTAGAGGTTTAGCCCCGACCCACTTTGATGCGAACCTCGTAGCAACGTTGACTATGAAACCTACCACGAGATTGACGAACCCAAGAAAGCCAAATTAATCCAAGAGTTTAGGATTAATCCAAAAGAAAATCGAACCAAAAAACCTAACAAGAACGACGCTTGAAAGACCCCTTGATTATGCAATCCAAGAATTAAACTCGCTTTTTTGAACGCCAGAAGTTAATACTTGATAAGTTTGAAGTTGTTCAATGAAGAACGATGAAGAGAAGACAATATGCCTCACTTTTAATTCAATAAAAAAAATGTTAAAATTTTTATTTTTTTACAATTGAATGAAAACTTCTATTTATACTAAACCTAAAAACTAGGTAAAAATTGTGCAAAAGTCGAGCATAATTCCCAAAGTATGGAAAATAATAAAAAACTAACAAAATATGGAAAAATACCAAAAATAGGAAATTCGCCCAAAAAATTGGCATATGCGACCGCAATGTGCAATTCCATGCGGTCACATGGTTCAAACAAAATGCCTCCTTTGAGCTTTAGTAGACCACCCTGTGACCGCGAACGTGTATGCCTGTGCGACCGCACAGGCTTAAAATTTTCCTCTGGTTTCGGCCTTCGATATTAAATTGATCCAAGTTGATTCAGCCTTCGACTCAAACATGAAAGTTGCTCCATTTTGAGTCTCAAACATGATGTCTTCAATCGTTTCCTTGACGAGCAATCCAATCGCCTCGTTGACTCGTTTCATCTTTGATTGCGTCATCGGTCCGCCATCGACTATCAACGGATCTCGTCTCGCACTTGCCTTCGTCGGGCTCGACTCCTGGGTCATATCATCCCCTCCCTCTTCAAAAGAATTCGTCCTTGAATCTGAACCTGCATCAAACACAGAGAGATCAGATACATTAAAAGTAGCCGAAACATTATACTCACTTGGAAGGTCCAACTTGTATGCATTATCATTTATCTTTTCAATAACTTGAAATGGACCATCGTCCCTCGGTTGCAACTTGGACTTCCTTTGCTCCAAAAACCGCTCCTTCCTAAGGTGCACCTAAACCAAATCTCCTAGCTCAAATGTCAAGTGCTTCCTACCTTTGTTCGTCTGTGATGCAACCAAATTACTCTTGTTTTCAATTTGCGCTTTTACCTTTTCATGGAGTGACTTAACCAATTCTACCTTCTTTTTGCCATCTAAACTACCATGTTCATTCGCAGGTAAAGGAATTAAATCCAAAAGAGTTAGTGGATTAAAACCATATACAAATTCAAATGCAAAATATGACGTAGTAGAGTGAAAAGCTCGATTGTATGTAAATTCAACAAATGGTAGACACTCCTCCCAACTTTTCAAATTTTTATTGATTACTGTGCGCAACAATTGTGTGATGGTCCTATTCACTACCTCGGTCTGCCCATCCGTTTGTGGGTGACGAATTGTGGAAAATAGTAATTTAGTGCCTAACTTACCCCACAAAAATCTCCAAGAATGACTTAAAAATTTGACATCCCAATCTGACACAATGTTTCTAGGAACCCCATGTAAACATACAATCTCTTTAAAAAATAAATCAGCAATGTTCGTGGCATCGTTTATTTTGTGACATCATATAAAATGTGCCATTTTGCTGAACTTATCTACAACCACAAAAATAGAATCCCGACCTCTTTTAATCCTAGGTAAACCCAAAACAAAGTCCATCGAGATATCAACCCAAGGCTCACTAGGTGTAGGTAAAGGTGTGTACAAACCTTGAGATAAAACCTTAGACTTAGCCCTTTTACAACCTATGCTTCAACTACAAATTCGCTCAACATCACTTTTCATCTTAGGCCAGTAAAAATGCTCCTTTAATACATCTAAAGTCTTTTGAACCCCAAAGTGTCCCATCAATCCCCAACTATGTGCCTCCCTTACTAATTACTCCCGATTAGAATAATTAGGAATACATAACCTATTTTCCCGAAATTAATACCCCTCATGCCCAAAGAACCTATCAACCGCCCCTTTAATGCATGACAAATAAATATCCAAAAAATCAACATCTTTTTCATACAATTCCTTAATATGTTCAAACCCAAGTAACTTAGAATCAAGAGTATTTAGCAATACGTACTTTCGCGACAATGCATCCGCCACCATATTTTCCTTACCTTGCTTATATCGAATGATGTATGGAAACATCTCAATAAATTCCATCCACAACGTATGTCTCTTGTTCAATTTACTTTGTCCCTGCAAGTGCTTTAGTGACTAATGATCGGTGTGTATTACGAACTCCTTCGGCTATAGATAATGTTGCCAAGTCTCCAAAGCTAGAACAAGTGCGTAATGTTCATTGTCATATGCAGGATAATTTAAAGTAGCTCCACCCAATTTCTCCCTAAAATATGTAATAGGCCTCCGATCCTGCATTAAAACTGCTCCAATCCCTATTCCTGATACATCACACTGAATTTCGAATGTTTTGTCAAAGTTAGGTAATGCCAAAATAGGTGCTTCACACAATCTACCTTTAATAGTATTAAATGCAAGTTCCTGCTCATCACCCCAATGAAAACTTACAATCTTTTTAACTACTTCCGTGAGTGGTGCGGTGATAGTGCTAAAATCTTTCACAAAACACCTATAAAAACTAGCCAAACCATGAAACTCCTAACTTCCGTTATGCTTTTAGGTGTCAACCAATCTCTAATAGCTTTTATCTTTTTATCGTCTACTTCTATCCCATTAGCACTAACCACAAATCCAAGAAATATAACTCTATCCATACAAAACGTACATTTCTTAAGATTAGTATAGAGTTGTTCTTTCCTTAAAATAATTAGCACACATTTTAAATGTTCCATATGCTCTCCTAGGTCTTTGCTATAGATTAAGATGTAGTCAAAATAAACTACAACAAATTTTCCTATAAAGGCATGTAAAACATGATTCATTAAACGCATAAAAGTGCTAGGTGCAGTTGTGAGTTCAAACGGCATAACCAATCATTTATATAAACCATATTTAGTTTTAAAAGCCATTTTCCATTCATCACTCTCCTGCATACGAATTTGATGATACTCGCTTTTTAAATCAATTTTAAAAAATATGCAAGCACAATGTAATTCATCAAGCATGTCATCTAACCTAGGTAGAAGGTGATGATACTTTACCGTTATGTTGTTGATAGCCCTACAATCCATGCAGATTCGCCACGTTCCATCCTTTTTGGCACAAGCAAATCCGGTACCGCACAAGGACTCATGCTTTCCCTCACATATCCTTTGCTCATGAACTCATCCACTTGCCTTTGAAGCCCCTTAATCTCCTCGTGATTACTTCGATAAGCAGGTCGATTTGGAATGATAGCTCTGGGTATGAAGTCAATTTGATAATTGATGCCTCAAATAGGCGGCAATCCACTTGGTGCATCCTCCTGATATACATCGTCGAATTCCTGCAACAAAGACTTAGCCAAACTAGGGAAGGGTGTGTTAGTTTCCTCAAAATTGAGAAGTGATTCCTTATAAACAAATAAGATCATCTCTTTTCTCTCAACTACCGCCCTTCTCAAATCAGTCTCTTTTGCAAAGAAAATCGCTCGTGTTTTCTCTCTTCTTTTGGAACACTCCATATCTTTTCTCTCTAGTGGCTATCTCAACATTTTCTCTCTTTTTCTCTAACTCACCACTTTCTCTCATTTTTTCTAACCCTTGGCTCTCCTCTCTTTCTCACTTCTCAATTTTAATTGGTCCTCATAGACTTGCACCGGTGTTAATGACACAAGAGTAATGGTTCTTCCATCCTTAATGAAACTATATCGATTTTTGTACCCATCATGCATAGCCTTCCTATCGTATTGCCATGGTCGACTCAATAAAATATGTTCCGCTTGCATTGGCACCACATCACACACTAACTCATTCTTATAATTCCCAATTGACAAATTAATTAACACTCTTCGATTCACCCTCGCCTCGCCACTTTCATTCAACCATTGCAATTTATAAAGTCTCGAGTGTCTCAACAATGTTGAAACAAAATTTTTTACAAGAGATACGCTAGTTACATTAGTGCAACTACCACCATCAATTATAACACTACATACCGTATTGTTGACGTGGCATCGAGTGTGGAAAATGTTCTCCCGTTGCAACTCCAAGTCATCTAATTTGATGTGAGTAGTAAGAGCTCGTCTCGTGACTAGTAGATCCCCAACTGGCCCTTCAACTTTTTCTTCTTCACTAACATCTTCTAACACCAGAATGTCATCAAACTCACCATCACTATTGCTCACTATCTCCCCATTATCCCACAACATCATCGCCTGTTTGTTTGGGCATTGAGAAGCAATATTCCCCGTTCCCAAACACCTAAAACATTTGACATCCCGATTGCGCGACGGTTGTGCCTCCGGTTTTGATATTGGTTTGCTAGCGCTTTCATCCTTACCCTTTTGCCAATCACTTTTACCTCTAGGTGCAGCCCCATTTTTGTTGTTGTCATCCCACTTTAATTTCCATGTTGAATTAGAATTCGAAGTACCCAACGGTTGCCTAGACGTCCCCTTCCTCTTCAATAGCCTCTCAACCTTCATTGTCACATGTAACATGTCCTCGATTTTCACATAGTGTTGTAACTCTACAACGTTTGCAATATCCCGATTTAACCCATTCAAGAACCGTGCCATGGTAGCTTCCCGATCTTCCTCCACATTAGCCTGAATCATAAGAATTTCCATCTCATTTTGATAATCCTCTACGCTTTGCGACCCTTGATACAAACCTTGCAATTTTTGATGGATTTCCCTATAATAGTGACTCAGAACAAACCTTCTCCTCATCAACATCTTCAACTCATCCCAAGTGTTAATTGGCATTTCCTGACCCCTACGCCGTCATGTAAGTACTTGATCGCACCAAGATATTGCATAATCCACAAATTCAAGCACTGCCAATTTTACCTTTTTCTTCTCCGACTAATTATAGCACTCAAAAATCATCTCAACCTTCCTTTCCCACTCTAAATATGCTTCCGGATCGGCTCTTCTCTTATATTGCAAAATAGTCACTTTAATACTTGCCAAATTTCCATCTACTTCATTTCCCAAGTTATTTCTACCCCGTCTTTCCATCCTATCGCCCCTGTGCCTCGCTCATCCCATATCAATGTCATTTTCATCAAAATCATCCTCATCACTACGATACTCATCCGGCCTTCCTCTCCTAGATTCACGCCTACACGACCCCCTAACATTAGACATCTCCACTTGTTCCCGGCTAAGATTAGTGATTATGGTACCTATTTGCGCCATCCATTCCCCTTGCCTATCCACCTTCTCCTTAACACCACCAAGTACCAGTTCAAACCTCTGTATCAGGTCCTTCGATGCATTGTTGTCATTAACGTTTCAGCTTGAGTTAGAACCTTCTCTTTCCGACATCATGTCACAGAAATTTATATACCTCACAAATATATCACTCGAAAACACTCAATATGGATTTTTCCCTCTATTAAACTCACCACTCGACCTCTTACCACTCAAAGTCTCTCTCCAAGCACTTCAAAGAACCAAGTGAACTAAATCAAGTGTTTTACCGAGAATTCAACAAACTAAATAATAACCAAGAACCACGAGACTCAAGGAATTGAATTAAGTGGAATAGATGATTGTTTTGACAAGAATATGTGAATAGACTCAATAGTAAAGTGAAGAATTGACACAATGAAATAGCCCAAATTACACAATTCGAGAGTTGTTTTTGTGTTGGTAGTAAAAACAAGAAATAATAATATCATTTTTTTGTCTATTGTACGGATGAACAATAACCGTACGATGAACAATACTTTTTTTTTGACGTTTTTTGACCTTTTGTAAAGAAACGATTAAACTACTAACAACTCAATGAATTGAAATTGACGTTAATTTAATGACACAAGAATGACTCAAACGACGAAGAACACAAGAACGACGAAGAATAAATAGAAAGACTTAACGACATGAGGAACGACAATAGAAATTGGGAAGAATGAAGAAAACAAGAAAAGACTTAACAAGTAACGAAAAGATATAACCTTTAATTAATTTGGAGTCTAGCTCTGATACCAACTGATGCGAACCCCGTAGTAACGTTGACTACGAAACCCACCATGAGATTGACGAACCCAAGAAACCAAATTAATCCAAGAGTTTAGGATTAATCCAAAAGAAAGTCGAAGCAAAAACCCCAACAAGAACGACGCTTGAAAGACCCCTTTATTACGTAATCCAAGAATTAAACCCGGTTGTTTGAACGCCACAAGTTAACACTTGATAAGTTTGAAGAATTCCCATAGTATGGAAAAGAATAAAAAACTAACAAAATATGAAAAAATACCAAAAATAGGAAATTCGCCCAAAAAATTGGCCTATATGACCGTAATGTGCAATTCCAAGCGATCGCATGGTTCAAACAAAATGCCTCTTTTGAGCTTCGGTAGACCACCGTGCGACTGCGAGTGTATATACCTGTGCGATCGCACATGATTAAAATTTTCCTCCAGTTTCAACCTTCGATTTAAATTGATCCAAGTTGATTCAGCCTTCAACCCGAACATGAAAGTTGCTCCATTTTGAGTCCCGAACATGGTGTCTTCAATCGTTAGCTTGACGAACAATACCATCGCCTCGTTGACTCGTTTCATCTTCGATCGCATCATTGGTCCGCCATCTACTATCAACGGGTCTCGTTTCGTACTTGCCTTTGTCAGGCTCGACTCCTGGGTCATATCACACTTGGTAAAGTAGTCAATGGCAACAACATCAAAGGTAGCACTTCCTCTTCTTTTTGGGAGGGGCCCGATGAGGTCAATGCCCCACTTGTGAACGACCAGGGGCTGGTGACCATAGAAAGGCTCTGAGAAGGCTATCTCTGAACATTGGAGAATCGTTGACATTTGTCACATTTTTGAACAAACTAGCAAGAATTCCTTTTTAGGGTTGGCTAGAAATAGCCTTGTTGAAGTACCTTGTGTGCCAGAGCCGTTCCTCTGGAGTGGGTACCACAGACTTCCTCATGGATCTCCCTTAGTATGTATATGGTTTCTTCCCCTCGCATACATCGGAGAAACGGTGAGGCGAAGCCTCTTTTGTAAAGCACGTCATCCTGGAAAATGAAGTGAATAGCCTTTCTTCTCAACTTCTTCGCCTTGTTCTTGGAGGCTGGCACTAATTGATCTCTAAGATAGACTATGATGGGTTGCATCCAAAGTGGGGTACCTTCGATCCAACATACCTCTTCACCTCCAGAGATGGAAGGCTTTGGTAAGCGTTCAATTGGACCAATTTTTAGTAGCTCGGAGTCCTTGCTACTGGCCAGCTTGGACAAGGCATCTGCATGTGTGTTCTTGAGGTGTGGGACGTGAATCAGTTCAAACCTTTCAAAGTGGGAGACAAGGTTCAGCACTAATTTCAAATAAGCGGCCATGCTACTGTCCTTAGCTGCAAACTTTCCATTGACCTAACTCACCACAAGCTGTGAATTACTGCTTGCTAGGAGCCTTTGACTTGCATTTGCTTGGCTAGTCTAAGTCTTGCTCAAAGGGCCTCATACTCGGCAGCATTGTTCGAGGCTTTGAAGCCCAACCTGATTGCACAATTTAGCTTATGGCCCTCTAGGCTTTCCAAAACAACTCCTGCTCCAGAGCCAATCTGTTCTGACGATGCATCCACGAATAGGTTCCATGTTGGGAGCTCCGCTGGTTCCATTGTCGCCTTCATTTTTAGGACTTTGGCGAACTCAGTAACAAAATCTACGAGGGCCTAGCCCTTGATGGCACTTCGAGGTTTAAACAGTAAGTCAAACTCACTGAGCTCAATTGCCCATTTTAGCAGTCAACTCGAAACATCTGTCTTCTACATCACTTATTTCAATGGAAAGTTGGTGAAAACTTCAATTGAATGGGCCTGAAAGTATGGCCTCAGTTTCCTTAATGCTATGATAAAAAAGAGTGCAGGTTTTTCCATATCTGGGTAGCAAGTCTCTGTTGGCAGTAAAGCTTTGCTGATGTAGTACACTGGCAGTTGGTAGGTCCATTCCTCCCTGGCAAGGATTGCATTGACCGCTTTGTCTGAGACTGCCATATACAACAGAAGTGTCTCGCGTACTTCTTCAACGCCTAGAAGGCTATCTCATACTCTTCGGTCCATTGAAACTTCTTTTCCTGCTTCAAAACTTTGAAGAAGGGTAGACTTTTATCAGTGGCCTTGGAGATGAAGAGGCTGAGGGCAGCAATTCGCCCATTAAGGCTTTGCACCTCCTTCGATTTATGAGGTGATCGCATCTCTATCAAGGCCTTTATCTTTTCTAGATTATCTTCAGTCCCTTTCTGATTAACATTGTAGCCTAAGAATTGACCCGATACTATCCCAAAGGTGCACTTCAGTGGGTTCAAATTTATCTTATATTTCCTTAGAATTTGAAAAGTGTTGTCCAGGCGACTTATGTAATCTTTTGCGTTGAGGCTTTTGACCAGCATGTCGTCCACGTAGACTTTCATGATTTTGCCAATGAGTTCGATGAACATCATGTTGACCAACCTCTGATATGTGGCACTTGCGTTCTTCAAATCGGAGGGCATTACGTTCTAACTGTACAATCCCCTATACTTGATAAATGATGTGGCCTCTTCGTCAGATCGGAACATGGGTATCTGGTTATACCTTGAGTAAGCATCCATGAAGCTTAGGAGCTCATGTCCAGTAGTGGAGTCCACAGGTTTGTCTATTCTTGGGATGGGAAAGCTATCTTTTGGGCAAGCCTTTTTCAAATTGGTGAAGTCCACGCAGACCCTCCACTTTCCATTAGCCTTCTTTACAAGAACTGGGTTGGATACCCACTTCGGATAGATTGCTTCCTTAATGACGCTGTTGCGTCTCAGTTTGTCGACTCCTTCCTTGGGCGCTTCGTATCTTTCTGGATTGAGGGCTCACCTCTTCTGCCAATGTGGTGCTGAGTGGATTGATGTTTAAACGGTGATAGCTAATCCTTGGGGTCTATTCCCACCATGTCTTCCTATTTCCACGTGAAAACGTCCAAATTCCTTTTCAGAAAGTTCATCAGCTCCTCTTTGATCTCAAAAGGTAGTGTTTTTCCTATTCACAAGACCTGAGTGGGGTCTTGGGAGTTGGCAGGAAAAGTTTCGAGCTCTTCCATTGGAGTTGCATTTGGTTTAGACTTAATGATCCAGAGATCCAATTCTTCAGGAGGGAGCCCTTCTTTAGGGGCCTTGATCATGTCGATGTCTTCCTCTTATTCGAAGGTGGCATCGAGCGTATCTATATCCGTGGACTATGGCGATTCCATTTAGTCACCTCGGACTATGGCGATTCCATGCTCGATTGGGAATTTTATACACAAATGGTGAATGGAGGTGATAGCCCAAAGAATCCTTTAGGGCAGGTTGACCTAGTGCTCCGTGGTAAGCTGATCTATGGTCTACCACTAAGAATTCCATGAGGTAATGAGCTACTAGGAGGGCTGATCCCACCACAACAGGTAAAGTAATTCATCCACGAGGGACAGTACTGTCACCAGTGAATCCAAATATTGGCTCGGTCATGGGGATCAAGCCATGTTCAATCTACATCTTATCAAAGGTTGATTCGAATAGTTTATTCATCGAGCTTCCATTGTCAACAAGCATGCGCTTAAGTCCGTTTCGAGCCACGACGGCTCTTACCATCAATGCATTGCAGTGGGAGTGATGAACACCCTGTGCGTTTTCCTAGGAGAAAGTGATTGGGGCCATTCTACTAGCTCCTTGGGACTGGTTGACAATGTAAACCATTGGTGGATCCTTCATTTCTCTCGTATAGTTCCTTTGCACATTCCAAATGTTGCCTCCGATGTGAGGTCCTCCAATGATTGTGTCGATTTACCGGATAGTCTCCCCTCTGATGGTCGGAGCCTGATTCCTTAGCCTAGATTCTCCTCGAGACTTATCTCCCGTCTCTTATCTTCGAGGTGATTGATATCTTTGTTGCCTAGTATCCCTGCTGGGAGGGGTGGACCGACGGGAGAGTTTTTGATTATGATCCCTCCTCAAGTATGAGTTACTTCAATGTGAGGATCGAGGGGTATCCCTACATCGCTGATGTCGTGGCCATAAAGCTGATGGAATGTGCAGTACTTTGGCCCTTCTAGGGGCCTGTTTGTCTACTACTTCTTTCGCCAGTTCGTGTTAGTAGTTCTTTCGAACGTTTTTGCCTCGGTAGTTGCGTCCTCGTATGCTAAAACTGACACTGTATTCAATGTGGCAGAGGCCAATGCTTGTCCTGAGGTAGGCGCTATTGCATGCCCTGGTTGGGTCCATTACTATGATGAGGTGTACTGGTGGTCCTTAACCTACCTGCCTTTGAGGCTGAGGGAGTCCCTGAGCTGTGCGGTTTCGATAGTCAATCATCTCTTCGTTGACGATCTCCACCCTCATCATTTTTCCCAGTTCATCATATGTACTTGGATTCTTGCTTCGTACATCTCTCCAAAATAAAATGTTCATGTTGAGGCCCTCCTTTAAGCCTGAAAGGGCCTCTCTATTGGTGACTTGTTCACAGTCGTGATTTCATCAGTAAATCTGGCGAGATAGCTTTTCAGTATCTCTTCAGGGGCTTACCTCATGTCTTGTAGGTGTTGTACCGGGGCCTCTCCTTCCCTTCGTGAGAGGTACTTGTTTAGGAAAGCATTCTTCAAATCCCACCAACTTCTAATGCTTGGAGGTGGTAGTCTACTGTACCATACCTCGATAGCTCCAGTAAGTGTTAGGTGGAAAGCTCTGCATTTTAGTGTCGGCGAGGCTCCTCTGAGGCTCATTTACTTCATGTACTTGGTGAGGTACTTCTAGGGTCCCCCTTTTCCTCATATTTAGGGATTTTAGGAGGCATGAAGTTTGTGGGCATTAGGAAGCTTCAGATTCTCTCAAGAAGGGGAGATTATCATTGTCGTCGTCAATATCATAGGAGCGACATGGCCTATCAGAACCTTCCCCTTCTGGGGCATTTTGGCAAGGTAGAGATGCCCTACCTCGACCACCGCAATCTACTAGGTTTCTCTTCTCCTGCCTATTTCTAGAGGGAGGAGGTGCTTCCTGTTCTTGTTCCTGCTCATGCTGGGCTGACCTTTGTATGGAGCGGACCCTATAGCTAGAATTTCGCCCTATTCGATCAAGGACACTAACCGACCTCTGAGGTTCGTATTCTGGTGGAAAGTTTTTTCCCAACTATGGTTCTGCCACGTGAGTGCCTTGGGTATAGGAAGTGACATCTATTCCCACTTCTCTCTCAATGGGGGCTTCTTTGTGGTGGCTTGAATGACCTCGAGCATGAGATATCGAGTTTTACCCTTGAGTTGGGTGCAACCCCTATGGCATTGGGAAGCTCTACCGACCCTGAGCTTGCATGAAGAACACGCGTATTGCCATATTCTGAGCTGCAATGTCTCTCATACCTGCAGCTATATGAGCCATTCCTTCAGTGAGTGCCACTGTTCTATCACCTCCGTGACACCGGTGATGGGGTCTCTGGTGCATGACGTTTGTTCGGAGCACCTCTTCTTTAGAGGCACACCTGAGTTTGAGATTTGCATCCTCATTGCTATAACTCATTTTCTTCGCTCCTTTTCTCAAGGGTATGTAGAACATTCAGATTGTAGGTTGACTTAGTTCTTTTTCAAGAATGTCCATTTTTCAAAGTAAATCAATGGTTTTCTGGTGGCTTTTTCTGGCGGTAAATGGGGAACTCTTGGATATAATGTTCTCATAGATGGTGCCAATCTATTGACATCGCAAATTGGACCTCCATGTGGCCAACCGAGAGCCATTCCACGTGTTTCTCTCTGCGCACAATAACACACGGTTAGAACCACACGGTCAGAACTAGCGGGGGTGGCGGCGGTCGCATACACTCCAATGATCAAGTCAGTGGACGGTGATTTTAACGATGCCGAAATTGTACAAGAGTGGGGAGGAGAAAACTATACTTGTGTGTGGATAGCTAAGTTTAGTGTGACTTTCATTTTCTTTGCCTCTTGCCAAACTTTAGTTATTATAGACGAGGAACACCGTTGGATATGGGACACATGTATGCATTTGACGGTTTGAGGTGTCCGCTCGTAGGCATCAATCAGCTGCGTCTAGAGTGTGCAGGTGATTAATTTTTCTGAGTTAGATTGACATAAAGTTGACATGTCATATCAACCAATTCATGGAGATGTCACGTTAATTAATCCATTGAGATAAAGGGGATCCTGACAAAGATTTCTCTTTGAAACTGGCAACGGAAAGCTGTTTGAAGAAGTGCCTCGGTGTACCCCACGCTTCGACATGGGGCACTTCAGACGCCTTAGCAGATTAACTCGGCAACCAGCATGTGGTCTTATAGTTAGGTCGAGGCTCATATCACTTCGAAACCACTTCGGAGGGGACACGTGGCACCTCATTGAAGAGAGGGCGCGATGTGTCGAAGTGGTTTGGTTAGGGGTGTAACAATAGACATTAGGGTAGGGTAATAAAATATGAGGGAAACGAGATTTGTTTGGTAGTGAAATAGTGGTTTTGACAATTTCGCCCATGAAGTGTCCCATTTGAGTCAAAATTCATATTTTCCTATTGATAGACAGCAATTTGGACGGAATGCATAAAATGGACTACTGCTGCAATTACATATAAAGGTCTAGGACTGTGGCCACAAAAATTAAAGGTTTGGGTCTAATC